CTCTTCTCTACATTTTTCATACCACCATTTTCTACATCCTGGATAATTCCTTATGTTTTATTTCCGTTGCTTCCACGCGCGAGTTACACCCTCGATTTCTCTGGGAGAGAAAAATTGGGAGAGGAAAATTGGCTTCCCCTAAAGCGAGGCTAATCCAGGCTAGGGAACGAGATAGGGGTCTCGTGTCCCCTTTTATGGCCCTTTACGAAGTCGATGGTGGGACGATCGTATCGATCTCTGCCCGGTCTGTACATCGAGAACTAGGTATTTACCCAAGTGCTCGTCAAAGGCATTTCGACCATAGCCTGCGTCAATGTTTACCACGTATTTCGTATTTATCTTTACGCGCATCGTGATAAGCCTTTATTTAAAAAACTCTCTCTCTTCTTCTTTATCGCGATAGAGAAAAATTCGAGTTAAGAATAAGAGTTTAATAAGTTTTCAAGAGGAGATTGACGATTGCATTTAATATATTTATAAATTATAAACGGCGCATTCATTTGTCTGCCGCGATGAAAATGAAACTTTATTCAAGCGTGCACGGGGTGTCTCGTATATCGCGGCGATCACAGTGAATTTAAAAATACCCAGCCCGCGTAGAACGCTTAATCGAGGACGTCGAACTTGCGCGCACGCTCGTGGCCGACACGCGATTCCAATCGCCGATGTCCGACTGAATACCGATCCATCTATATTTGCCGTTTAATCGCTCCGATTGTTATTAATTCAGGATGAGACTTATTAATTCAGGATTGGATTCACTGGAGATCATTCAATTAATATAATATCGTTTCACATTGACGATAATGAATAACGATTCAAGGATTCGATTTCTTTCCTTTCGTGCACCCATTCAAAAATTTCAATTCGATTCGAAAGGCGTCCACGATTTGATAAATCTAATCTGATAACAATTTATTTAGATTTGAACGGTTATCGATCAACGGAACGAAGGAAATTGGCGAAGGACACGTTGTTCGATTTTTTCCTAGATCAGAAGGATTCCTGGTTATGTTATCGAAACGACACCTCGAGTCGTTAAATAAAAGCGAGGGTTTTTTTCTTTTTTCCATCATGGAAGGAGGTTGTTGATCGTAAATTATTAAATTTCATGCGGCTATAAAATTAGAAGAAGCTCGACGGACTGTCGGCGTTAAAGTTAAAAATATTAACCGGTGCCAATGATGCGTATTGCGCAATGTGTTGGAAACCGAACGATAACGTAAATCGTGTTGAACCTTAAGCGTGTAACCTGGTTCCTATCGAAAGCCATCTAGTTTCAACGTTTTATAATTCGATGTGGAACGTAATCAAAGCTTTGGAAATCTCATTTTCGTGCTCCTTGTAAAAGACATTAATCTATATATATATATATAAATATATAAAAAAAGAAGAAAAAAAAATGGAAAGAAGACGAGTCTATCTAAACTTTTTTTAACTTCATATCATAATCGTAAAATTTGGTAACATAAGTACACAACAGTTACGAAACATCAGATACAACGACCTAGATCAATAGAATCCATCTTCCATCGTTCTAACTTCTAAATCGTGGACGATTACGATTTTCCAATCGACGCGTTTAACTTCGTCCCTGTGAGAAAATTCGAGTCGCGAATCGAATTAAATATTAATAGCCCTTTGTAAGCTACCGTCAACTATTTCGGTGCACTTTGGCCTTGCTCTCGATCCACGTATCAATCGAATCGCCTTCTCGCATCTCCTCTTAATCCTTCTTCTCGTTCGCTCGTTGAAATTCTCTCTTCCTCCTCTGTTAAAAATCGTTATCCCCCGTTAGACCATTTATTTCGTCTCTTCCCACTGCGTTTCGACT